GAGATGCCTTCTTAAGATGCAGATGGACGCTGAGTCTTGTCCTGTGGAGGTGGCTCTTCTGTGTTGTGCCATGCGCTTGTGAAGTGGCTGTTTGGTCTCTCCAATGTAGAGGTCTGGGCATTCCTCGCTGCACTGTACAGCATACACCACATTGTTAAGTCTGTGTTTTGGCGTTTTGTCTTTCGGGTGAACCAGTTTTTGTCTGAGCGTGTTGCTGGGTCTGAAATGACACCGGGATGTCATGCTTGGAGAAAACTCTCCTGAGTTTTTCTGATACACCGGCTACATAGGGGATGACAATGTTGTTGCGTCTGTCTTTCTTATCCTCCCTCGCTGGTGTCTGGTCTTCTTTTCTGTGCCTCTTTGCTGACTTTAAGATTTTTTTTTTTTTTTTTTTTTTTAAATTGATATTATCTCTTTTGAGTTTGTATGGATGACTCACCTGCTGCAGGTTAAATCCTCTTACGGGTACAAATAAAGGAACCTGATATCACACCGTGCCCTTTTATGAGAGTGTGGAGCGTTTTCAGCATCGCTATCTTGGTGTTTGAAACCAGGCGCGACAGAGGAAGGCTAGCTCTGGCAGTGAATCCGAGGGACGTGCTCATTGGCTAACAAGCTATCAATCATAACTCTTGGTTTATAAACTCTGACTCTAATAATAATCATAATTAACTAAATGACCATCACGCTTTATTTAGTATGATCTCAAACTCCTCAGGATCGTGTTTACTGACGTCACAGAGAGAGAGGCAGCTGAGGCTCATTTCAACATCGACTTCAGCGCCACCGAAGTCTGTTGGGGACCAGAAGAGTCTCCCCCTGGTGGCCATTAAAAAGAATGCTGTTTTTTAAGGCACTTCTGCACTGGCTTCACTTTTCAGACCTGGAGGGCGACATTCATCTTTTATACTGTCTGTTTCCGGGAGAGGTTCTTACCTCTCTGTGACTGGATCTCTACCCAGCACCTGCAGAAGGTGGAGAGTTGCATTCAACTATGCTGAGGCTGCAAAGCAGACCAAGGACCACCATCTGTAGTCAAACTGCAGTCAGCCCACAGGATGGAGAGCTGACTGGAAATGGAGCTGAATATTAGACCTGTTATCTCTTGTCCCAGAGAGCAAACACATATACATCCTCCATCTTTCTCCTCTTCCATCATCTCAAATACAGTCTTAGGGAAACACTGGATCTTTACTGTCTGTGCATGTATAGTAGCTATATGCACTAAAAGTGGCCTTTAATTTGGAGAATGCACACAGTAAAGCTTTCTTCCTTCTGTGGGCTGGCTCTGCTCAGATCTGCAGTACACAAACATACTGTTTTTAATCCATTCTACACCAGATATAAGACCCTGAGAGGCTAACTTTGTGGAGCCATGTGTACATTTGTCTCTACATACAGTTAGTGGTCTTCCTGGGCGTGTGCTCTGGTTTATCCCACCTCTATCATTTGGCTGCCGTCCCGTTAGTCTGCCTCTGTGGTTTGTTTGGCTTTGAACCCTCAGAAGAGACTTGTAGTTAATCGGGGAGTGATTTTACTCTGTATTTACATTATGATGTTTGACCGAGTGCTCCGGGTAACGCCCCGCTTTACGTTCATCCACACCTGGCAGCTGTCCTGACCACATCCGCCTGCTGTTTTCCAGAGACGCACTGCAATAAAATACACAGTATAAAAAGATTCAAACCTGGATTAAATTATAATACGGTTAGAAGTGGATTCATTGAGCCTGTAAATAAGAAGATGAGGATAAGTATTAACTTTACAGGGGCCGTGATGGTTCCTGTACAGCTGCCTGTGGGTCAGATTTTATGAGTAATCAGTTACAGAGTTTTGAGTGTATGTAATGCCTCTAAGGAAGAAAATTAGTTTATCAACAATGATTTGTCTCATCTTTGCTGTTCCAGGAGTTGACCAGCGACCCCCATCTGTTTGTGGACGGCATCAGCGCTCATGACCTGCACCAAGGTCAGCTGGGAAACTGCTGGTTCGTAGCCGCCTGCTCCAGTCTGGCCTCCAGAGAAGCTCTATGGCAGAAGGTGAGAGAAGGAAGAACAAAAGCTGCACTCATTCCAGAGATTTTTATAGACGTGGTGGGAAAGGTTTTATAGGAGAGAGAAGGCATTGGTCCCACACTCCTGTGGCATCCAACTCCCAGGATACAATGCAGCCGTGGCTGTTGTGAGACACACGGGGGCTTTTCTAGAGGGCCTAAACTGTTGCAACAACAAATAATAATAATCCAGAAGTCTGACATTTATTAATCCAAAGGGGAAATTTCATTTGTTAAAGGTGCTCAAGTGTGAATGTGAAATATAGAAAAATATAAACTGCAGTATGTGCGAAACTAAACAGTGAGGATGATCCAGGTGTTACAGGTAGGAATGATTTGGTGCATCGTCGAGCACTGTGAAGACAGCATGCTCCTGTCTGACGCCATCCTCGGTCATAAAATGATGTTTCAGCTCTTATTTCCAGTCAGGTTGATTTTAATGAAATTTTTACAGCAAAACTCACAAAAAAGCAGCTGCAGAATATTAATATTTATTTTAAACACGTTAGATACGAGGCCTGACATGGGATAAAAACATGCAGTTTTAAGTGTCCTGTATCATTAATGCACTTCTACAATTTGTAGCATATCAGAGTATTTTAAAATAGATTGAAAATTCAGAATTGTGAAGGAAAAAATGTTCTTGGTGATTAAGTAAATGCTATATATAAAAAAATAAAGTAAAAGTAAATAATTAAACTTTCATTATTGTAATGTATAATAAAAATAGAGGGAAAAGGGAGAAAATGAAAATAATTTAAATTTTTCTCGATAGTTTATAACTTTGATCATTTTTTTTTCATGTTATCTGAGCTGAACTGAGAGAAGGAGGCTCTAGTGTGTGTGTGTGTGTGTGTGTGTGTGTGTGTGTGTGTTGGTAGGTGTGGACATGTGTGGAGAAGCTTGTAAGATTATTGTGAGTGGGTGTGTTGCCTTTAGTTGTGTTTAAGCAGCACTTTGTGTAATCTGAGTGATTTTTCTTATCGATTAGCTGCTAATGGAAGTTCTCTGAAACTGAAACCTCCACACCAGCCATGAACTGAGTCTTGAAGAGGAAAGAGCTGACAAGACTAGGGCTGTTCCTGCTGACTAACATGCTCATCATTTAAACTGGAGAAAATCATCTGGCTTAACGCAGGTCCATAAGTGAGACAACGTGAAACGGTCTAAGATGAGCGATTAAGTGCTGTCCGCATAAATGTTTATGAAATAAGGGACGAGGGAAGCGATGTTTCATGACTTAATCGATTAAAGATTACATCTCCAGATGAAACTGTGCTCGTGAGATATCTTCAGTTCATAGTTTTATATCCTCGACCACACAAATATCCTCTGCTGTTGTGTTATCACCGGTTTACTGAGCACACGAACAGGACTGCACACGTCTCTCTGCTCCGGGATATACCGATAGTTTCTGATATTTTTGAGAACATCAAACTGATTTCTCCCTTTGGGCATTAAACTAATCGGATACTTTTTCAAAGATTTGATCTAATACGCCCACTCTCGAACCATCTCGTGATAAAGATTCCTTCCAAAAATATTCCAGGATGCAGATCTGGATCAAACCCCATCTTTGGTAATGCTCGCATGCAGGTCCATCCATAACTGTTGGAGCTTCCTGCTAATAAATGCCAAACAAATCCAACTGCATGCAGCCTTTGGTGTCGGAGGTCACCGATGGAAGTAACATTTGTTGTCCATAAGATGGCGGTATAAACTGATGAACAGATTTGCCGTGGGTTGCAGACAAAATGACTTAGCCACATGCTTAAAATCCATAATGTTGTCTTAAATATTGAGATATAAAGTGTGTTTACTTTCTGCTGCTTCGAGGGAAAGATCACCGCTGTTCTAGAAGTATTTAATTAGGCTGCTTTTATTCTTTTTACCATTAAATCAACACTTTGTTACACATGAAAAACCTGTGTAACCACACACACACACACACACACACACACACACACACACTTGCTGCCTCCTGCTTCCTCTCTGCTCTCAAAGGGCCTCCTCTCAGCCTCCTAGTTTTCCATCAACTGGAGGGAAAGTGAAGTCTGTTTTAGGTGTAGTTGCCTCTGTGGAGCACCCAGTTGTCTTGACACCCTTCAAAGGTCCGAAAACAAACAAAACCGCTTCTGTGGTGACGACAGCAAAGCACACGGACGCTTACACAACAGTTACTGTTGTGTGAAATGATGTGTTTGTGTCGCACACAGAGCGTGGAAGTGTTTCAGTAACACTTAACATAAATAGCACATTTATAATTAATAAAGTTAAGGTCTTAGTTTGGGAACTGTTAAATATCGCCAAATCTAAGACTGCCGCTAGCTGTTTAAACCTGAAACAATGTTTCCTTCTTTGTGTTTGATTGAAATGATTTATTTTCACTTTCTGATGATTTGCCTGTTGAGACAGATTCTCTAATAACAGCTTTGCTTCCAGGAGCTAACAGCCACACTCCCTTTCAGTTCTTTCTCCTTAATGTTGAAATCCTGTAAGACACGTTAAGGATTAAAAAATAAATAAAGGAGGGGAGGGGCTGAAAATGAAGAGTAACTTTAACAGCTTAGCTTAATACTCCCGGAGACTCAGATGGACAAAAGGCAAATAGACTTTTCCAGAGTTTTGCTGTAGTTTCAGCCACACGACCTGGATGGACTCCTGGCACCATTTACACAACTCTGTTCTCTTGCTATAGAATTTACACAAAATAGTACATAAAGAAAAAGAATAATTTATCAGCTGTGCTTCTGTTTTTTAAAAACGAAATTTCTTCAATCTATTTACTGTGGTACAAATTTCCTGTGTTTTGATTATAAGTTGCACTTTTTAAAACGTAAAATAAGAGGAAGTAGCTCTAAAGTTACTTAAGTTGTTCAACTTGATTTCTCTTTAATCATAAACAGAAAGTAAGAGCGAAACATTTTGAACCTAAATGCAGAGGCGGAAATCTTGAGGTAAAACTGTCATTTTTCTTAGCTGCAAATGTTCATCCTGGAAGATTGTGACCATTTTTTAAAAGTAGCTGCCGTTATTTTTCAAATGAGTGAATCCAGAGGGCAAAATGTTCGAGTTATCTGCTACAATGTCCAGTTAAAAGGCTGGGGTTTTTTTTTATCTTGTGATGCAAAGATTACAGTGGTTAGGAGGCATGAAAAGGAAATGTCAGAACTGTCAAAAGTAAAAACAACTCGACTCAACTTGCAAGCTTCTCCCAGCTCTTGTTGTTGGAATTGTTGGAGAGAAAGCCCCCATCATTTTATTGCTAAGCCTGTTTCAGTAATGTGGAAAGTTTGAGTGGAACCACAGTGGGAACTATTGTAAGCCAAGACCAGATACTGTAGAGCAAACCAAGACACGCTGGAGTTTTTCCAATCTGTTTCCATTCATTCACAGAGAAGAGGAAGCAGGATCACACAAGTTACAACACAGAGACCTCTAACCTCTTCAAACAATTAAATATACTGTTATAATGGTGGATTTATAGACACACAGGTGTAGGAAAACTTGTAGGAAAATCAGCAGAACTGTAATAAAGATTATTTCTGATCATTTATAAGTAGGTTTAATTTACTTTTTTAGTAAACGTGGCAGAAGGTGACAGTCTAAAAGTCCAAAAATGTGTAGTGGGCACACATGGGAAGAAGATGGTGTGACAAACAATCTAAATGAGGTTCAGACGAACGAATGCAAGAACACAAATTCCTGTGTTCCTAGAAAGCTCGACTAGTCCTGACAAGCAGCACAGCTCAATCTGGCAGCGAGCAAAGAGAAGCTAAACGCAGGGAGGAAGTAGAGCTGACAGGAACAGACAAGTACCCACAATAACAAAATAAAACAGGAAATGACCTGATAGAAATTTTAAAATAAAATAGTTTGTTTATCAAGCGGCTAAACAGGTGTAGAGTGTAACATGTAAACAGTGGGTGTCTTAACTATGACCCATTGTGCTAACGTTAGTAGACTCCCTCAAGGGCTCATTTTGAGCAGGGAAAACACTGCTGACCATGGCCTGAGTTTCCAGTAATGCGGTCAGTGCACAATCCCTGTGAGTCCACACTGATCTAAAAGCTCTGTTTCATTTAGGTTTTTGATGCTGGATAAAGTCGTGGGTGGAGTTTTACTTATCTAAAGCCTTACTTGTAGATATGTCAATGCTAATTAGAAAACTCAAAAACCAGTTTTATTTTTATCTCTCATCTACCTGACACTTACTCTGAGTTTCTGATTTCTCAAACTTTTTATCTAATTTGGTGCTCAGCTCAGACAAAATAATTATTGTGAGCAATTTAATTTTAACATACACATAGATGCTGAAAATGACAGCCTCAACACAGCATTCAATCTATAATTAGACTAATTTGGCTTCTTTTAAAAAACTAAAGAGCCCACCCACACTTTGATCACACTCTGGAGCTTTATCTGAAGATCCAAAGAGTGTTTAAATTATAAACAACCACAACCCCTCCTTTGTCTGATCATTTGTTAAAAACATTTACAATAATGAATTGCAAAGCGTGGGGAATAAATTTCATTACAGTAGATGTCTTTCTGAAGTGCTGTAACTACGTTTAAGTTCCTCCACTGTTGCCTCCTTACATCCTCACTGTGTACGACTGTCCCCACCCTCGTTACTTCTTTCCTGCTCAGTAACACCAATAAAAACCAGCACCAATGAGAACACACACACGGCTTTCAGTGGTTATTTAATTGGCGTCACACCATTGATCTCTTTCTATCAGCAGGCATGCAGTGGAAATATTTGGTTATCTATAGAAACAATGAAAGGAATAAGAAACAACGAAACAACAACTGCAGCAAGTCAACAGTCACAAAACAAAGTAATCGACATGTTGTTAAAACAGTCAGCTGATCATAAGTTGTTGTTTTTGTTTTTTTTAGTGTTTTTATTCAAAGGTAAATAATTTCAGAAAACTTTAGAGGTTCTAAAAACTGTCAATATTTATTATATGAAACCTAATTAAATAATCTAGTAGATAGACCTGCGAGCATCAGTAACATTGTATTTAGCATAGTTTCAATAGCAAAACTTCTCAGATGTGATACATTGTAACAGAAACCAGCATTGATACACTGAATGTTTCTGATTGTTTACTGGAGAATGTTTGGAGACTCATATCACCACGTGGGCTTCAAACCAGTTAAAACATATGAAAAGTTTTCTTTGTACCTATAATTTGATACCAGGCTCTTCATCTTGCTTGATATCTTCTATAATTTTCTAATGTAGTTGTTTTTTACACACTGACAAATGGATCTTATGTCTGTGAAATAGAGAAACCGGACTGCATCCATTGGGGTGAACTGTCCCTTTAATTAGCACCAACATATATAAAAGCATATTAAGTGTTAATTCAGAGCATTTGTTTTCTTTCTCTTGTCATTGTGTTCGTTTCAGGTTTTATTTTCACTAAAAATGTTGCTTTTGTGTTGAAATACTTTTGCTTTAAAGCCTGTTTTTGGTGTTTATGTAACTTGTTGTTAAAAAAAATCAAACAGGCGTCTTACTTACACTCAAAGATAGAACGAGAGTTACTGTTTAACTAGTTCGAGGGAGAATGTTTAAGCTCATCTATCCCTGATTGGTTGAAACAGAGTTGTCAGGTTTTTCTAATCAACAGTAAAACAATGGCTGATAGAATATAAATTTTTAAAGGCTTCTTCTGGACTCTATCAGGATTCTACTGGCACTAAATAAAAGTCATTTCTCTGTCGTGAACTCGATCGAGCAGTTGAGATTCGCCACCTCGGCCCCATCCTTGAAAGCAAGCAGGAAGTACATGACCTTCCTGACTTTGGCGAGCTCTGCAATCCTTTCGCCGAATTCCTGCATATCCGCCTCCAGGCACTTGAGCTGCGAGTCCTCGGGGTCGCCGGCATTACGCCAAAATGTTCCAATGGGCTCCAGCAGCTGCCGGGTCATCAGATTGGTGAGGTCGGGGGTCCAGTGCTGGCAGATACCGGTGATGGTGACGCGGCCGTAGCCGGAGAGGGAGAAGTACCAGCGGGAGAAGTTCAGCTCCTGGATGGCGAAGTCCAGCCGATACACGGCCTCGTAGGGCAGAAGCAGACGCTCGCCGTCCTGACGCTTCTGCCCTGACCGCTGCAGGGAGGACACGCGAAGGCGCATCATCTGCACAGGAAAGAAGCACACAGGAAGTCAGTTCATGTTTGGTTTGGAGGAAACTTTCAGTCTGGGTGCCGGTATCAGTCTCTGAGTGACGCTGTGCTCAGCATTACCTGTGCAGTGATAAGACTCATAATGACGGGAAGGTGATGGGGCTCAAAGGTTTGTGCATTTGTGTCAGAATAAGCAGTGTTTTTAAAAGAAAAGCAGATGAATGGCACAAACGGATGATGTGCTCTCTGGGCTATTTTATACAAAGTGCCGTTCAGACCTATAAAATTAAAATTATGAGTCTGCAGTTTTATCAACTATTGTCAGTTTTTTAAAAATATTTTGTGCAACTCCACAGAAGAGATGATAGTTGAAGTGTCACAGGCACTGCTGCTCTATTTTTAAAATGTTTTAAAAAATGTTTAAAAAAAAAATTGTTGACTGTAAAGTTAGTGCGGCTGCTTTGATTGGCAGGCTTGCCGACACAGACTGTTACAGCTGATTGTTACACATCTGCTAATGAACACACGCACTGAACTGGACCTCTCAGCTGTGCCTTTTGGAGCACATTTAATGGAATTAGCCAACAAAAGATATGTCCCGTTGTGCTGTTTGAGGAGTTTTACATTTGAACTCAGTCATAAAAGCTGATCGCCTCCACTGTGACAGCCACACAGCTGAGTGATCACACGTCAGTCTGATGGGACTTTTGTGCATCTTTGTTACCATCACACACTTGACCTTTTAAATTTTGCCCCACCACATTATAATTAAAAAGAGCTAAAGTTACACAGAAAATGAAACTTTATATGAAATAAACATTAAAAACTGTGCTCTGATCCAGCTGCACTTTATTCTGAAATTTGCATCCATACATTGTGCCAACAGACTTTTCTGTTTTGCATCTGAAGTTGAGAAGTAAAAGCCTCACCTCTGTCAGCGCGGTGTCTTCTTTGAACTCCAGCACAATCGTGTTGGAGGGAGATTTGGCCTCATCAGCGTCCATCTCTAAGGTTTTATTCCTGGGATAAGCCGAAAGGAAGAGCCTGCCTGTGTGGATGGATGCTATGAGAGATGAAGCTCTGATGGAGTTTCTAGTCTCAGCCTCTTTTCTTCTCTCACTCTATTCTCATAGGCTCCTCTCCCCCGCCTCCCTTCCCAACAGTTTCCATCACAGTGTACCACTTTCTCATTTTGTCCCATCTCCCCCCTGGAGCCCACTGGGTAGTTTGGTTGGGACGTATTGATTAACACGAGGGGGCAGGAGAGATGAGATCGATGCAAACATCTGATTATTGTGACAGTAACGGTCACATTTGTTAGTCGTCTGGTTGTGCAGCCAACCCTGCTCGGGTTATTTCGGTCGTCCAGCCTGAGTCAGACGTTCCTGCAGAAACTGAACATTTCTGCAGAATCACACAGGTCAGCTGTTTGTAAAGCAGTTTATATTTGACATGAACGCTGAAGCTAACACAGAACAGCTGAGAGCATTTTCTGTAGATTCGTTTTTCTCTACAGACTGTACAAAATGTTTGAAAATACTTTTTGAGGTCTTTTTTTTTTTTTTTCTTTTTTTTTTCTTTAAGGTGTTAAGCAGGCAGGTGATGTGTGAAGGTGCTAAGCAACAGGAAACGCTGCTGACGTATGACAGGGAACGGTGGGAGTTTCCTGAGGGCTTCTGGGAGCCCGGCTCGTCTTAGCTCAATGGATCACTTATTTATTTATATCACTCACTTCACTGGGGAGTGTGTGTGTGTGGATTATGTCAACGTGTTGTCAGCTGGGGTTTCAGCGCAGGATGTGGATGGATGACGTTCGCTCGTTAAAAACTTTAATCCCGAGTTGTTCCTGTTAATCAGAGACGCTGAATGGCATTAATGGGGAAACGAGTGAAAATCAGTCGTTTCAATCTTTTTCTGTACGTGTTTGTAGTGTGGAGCTGTTGTGTTTATCTACATTGGTTTTTGTTTTTTTTGCTTTTAATAGAAAGTAAAGATGAGAAAATATATTTTACATTGGAGAACCCACAATCGCTCCCTGTCTGCACCTGAACACGTTTTTAAACACTGTTATGTCCACATACTGTTTGTTTAATATGTGGCTTACATTTAAAACAGCCTTCAAGGACATCACCTGTAAAATAAATAACGCTGTAAGCAGCAATGGTCAGTCGCACCTTTGAGCTGCGGTCCTGGTGTTTCCTTTGGGCGTGATTGAGATCTTATACTCTGGATTCTAATTGGCTGTTGAACAAATGAGTTATAAAACTCCCAATGTCACAAGGTGGCGCTGAACCTCATTTAATGTTGACGTGCAGATGTTTCCAGGCGTGTAAAAGGCCTGAAAATGACCAAAACGCCATCTGTGGGCGACTTCCTGTTGGATTCAGGGCGCAGATCCCCGGGAGGCTGCTCCCCAGATATGACACAGCTGAGCAGACCGCGGTTACGTCTGAGCTCGAGTGAGGTGATGACCATGGTTTTTATGTTTTTTGTGGGGTTTTTTTTTTTTTTTTCTCAAAGGTGATTCCTGACTGGAAGGATCAGGAGTGGGACAAAGACAAACCGAACTCCTACGCCGGGATCTTCCACTTCCGCTTCTGGCGGTTTGGAGAGTGGGTGGACGTAGTGATCGATGACCGGCTCCCCACGGTGAATGGACAGCTGGTGTACTGCCACTCCAACGACAGCAATGAGTTTTGGAGCGCGCTGGTGGAGAAGGCCTACGCCAAGTAAGCACTTCCTCAGATCAGTAACTAAAAAACAGCAGCTAATAAAAACAGAGGATATGAAGAGGCAGGAAGAAATAAAATCACTTAAATATTTTACAGCTGTGGAAAGAAAAGAAACACTCGAGGAAACTCATGTTGAAGAAATGACTCAGGAATACACAAATGCATTAGAAACTGACCCAAGGCTCTCCAGTGACATAAAAACAGGAACTGAAATTAAAGTAGTTTAGCTCAGAACCAATAACGCGATACATGGAGGAATTTTAAGAACTCTGATTGGATGATTTTTTTTTCCTGAAACATACAAACACGTGAGGTTGTCCCAAAATAAGGACTGACACCTTAAACTCTGAAGGAAAGTGTTCCCACAAACTAACATAGGACAGGAAGTCTCTTTGCACAGCTGTCGCCATCTGGTGGACTTCAGATAGAACGCAGGTTTAAGCCACCTCCACAGTGGCTTCATTTTTCCCACTCGGAAGCTACGTCCATGTCTTACAAGTGCTGAAACCTTCTGATTACAAGGTGCAGCCAGTCAGAAAAGGGTTAGTTTAAAGGGGGAGGAGCTAAAACAGCCCTTTTCAGATGAAAATGGGCTGAGGAGCCTCACAAAGGCAGCATAAGATAAAGCAGGATTAATGTGAACTGAGTCCGTGAATGAGTCCAGTATAAAGTTTCCTTCTGTGCTTTTAGAGATGAAATCTGAGGGGTCCGATTTTTAACTCTCTTAAACTCAGGGACCACCACAGCAGATCTGTTTTCTCATTTCAACAGTGAAATTCAAACAGGTGCTGATGTGATCCTAGTTTAACATTTCACAATGTTAACGTCAAATTGATTAAATATAAATTTTACTCCCTGTAATTATGTTTAATTAGCAATAAAAATGATGGCATGAATCCCTGACTCTGTGTTGTAAATCTCGACAGTTACTTGAAAAGCAGAATGAGACTCAAACGTTTGTTTATAGTAAAAATAAATGTAAATGTTTGTGTGTTTTCCAGGATGTACGGGTGCTACGAAGCTCTGGATGGGGGCAACACGGCCGACGCTCTCGTGGATTTCACGGGAGGCGTGTCCGAGCCGATGGATTTGATAGAGAACGGGTACAAACAAGACGAAGAGAAGCAGCACGAGCTGTTCGAGAGAGTCCTGAAGGTTCACAACAGAGGAGGCCTCATCAGCTGCTCGATCCGGGTAAGGACACGTCAAACGCAAACCCACGCCAGCCAAACGAATTCATTCATCTTCTCGACGTGTCGTTCCAGGCGACCACTCAAGCGGACATGGAGGCCAGGCTGGACTGCGGCCTGGTCAAGGGCCACGCCTACGCCGTGACGGACGTCCGCAAGGTGAGGCTGGGCCACGGCCTGCTGGCCTACTTCAGGTCAGACAAACTCAACATGATCCGCATGAGGAACCCCTGGGGGAAGAGAGAGTGGAACGGGCCGTGGAGCGACAGGTGAGGAAGAGAGAAATCCTTTGAACAGGTTCTCTTGTTGAGATCTGTGGTGTGATACAGATGATACAGATGAAGCGTTTCTGCCTGTTTGCAGCTCTGAAGAGTGGCAGAAGGTCAGTAAGAGTGAGCGGGAGAAGATGGGCGTCACTGTGGAGGACGACGGAGAGTTCTGGTGAGTTTTAGTGCTGCGCTGCCACCTGGTGGCTCTTTTTCAACTTTATCTCACAGTAAATCATGCGAGTCCTTTCTCTCCTCCTCCTGCAGGATGACATTTGATGACTTCATCGCCAACTTCACCGACCTCATCCTGTGCCGTCTCATCAACACATCCTACCTGAGTTTACACAAGACCTGGGAGGAGGCGGTGATGCGGGGCTCCTGGCACCGCCACGATGACCCGCTGCTCAACCGAGCTGGGGGCTGCACCAACAACAAGCACTCCTTTCTCCAGAACCCGCAGGTGTCTCATTTGTTCAGAGTTTCAGGTTAAAATTCATCCTGTGCGTTTATGACTGTGTGCATGTTCGTTTCTGTGTGTCGCAGTACGTGTTTGACGTGAAGAAGCCGGAGGATGAGGTGCTGATCTGTCTGCAGCAGAAGGACCGCAGGGCCACTCTGAGAGGGGGGCGAGGAGAAAACCTGGCGATTGGCTTCGACATACACAAAGTCAGATATTCATGGGCGTTATTATAAAATCTCCAGGTCGTTTGTATTTAAAGGACGGCTGTGGCTGTATTGGTTTCAGTCATTTAAAGTGAAAATCTCAAACTGGAGTGAAAACTTCTGCTGCTTCCTGTTCAGGTGGAGTTAAACAGGACGTACCGAATGCACGTGACCCAGCAGAAGGTTGGCGGCAGCATCTACATCAACTCGAGGTCTGTCTTCCTGCGCATCGACCTCAAAGAGGGCCGCTACGTCATCATACCCACGACCTTCGACCCCGGCCTGGAGGGAGACTTCCTGCTCCGCGTCTTCACCGATGTCACCTCAGACTGCAAGTACGCGGCACACGTGGTTTAGCTCGCCATTTTTAGAAATTTTCTTCTGTTTCTATTAATGTAGGCGAACAGTAAAGACGGCAGACGGCCTCCCTGCTGCACTTTCAGGGGAAAATAAACTCTTGTTTTCCATGCTGGGAACTGAGAGTGAGGGGAGATCTTTGGGCTTCCTCTCAGTTCAGACACGCAGCCAATAAAGACTTTATGAAAACAACAACACATGAAAGCATTAATTATCATTCTGTGTGTACTCAGCGTTGCACATTTAAACACTGAACCACAGAAACGGATCTTCCTGTCTGTCCCGCAGGGAGCTGACTCTGGACGAGCCCCAGAAGACCTGCTGGTCGGGGATGTGTGGTTATCCCTCTCTGGTCACTCAGGTCCACATACTGCAGGCCGACGGACTCGCTGCACAGGACTCAGACGGAGGTAAATGCTTCTGTTCTTCACAGGAAACCTGCCTTACACCTTAAAGACTGTATATAAAAGACGCACGTAATCACCGCGATCCACTCAGGCATGTTTGTTTGGCTTTGTGAGAACGATTTGGGGTATTAGACTTTTACCCCAGATCACGGCCTGATGATTAATCAGCTTTTGAATTCAGTGGCTTCCGATCATAAAACCTGAAAATCCAGAATAAAGCGGTTTAAAGTCCTGTTATAAATAAATGTTTAAAGTGTGGTGAGACCTGCATGCGATGCGTTTAGGGGACATCTGTAAATTGTAGCTCAGAAACATCATGAAATGTCCACTGAAGTGTTGATAACTCAACTGTGTCTCTCCAGCGTCGGATCCTTACGTGATCATTCGCTGCGAAGGACAGAAGGTCTGCTCGCCGGTCTATAAAAACACGTGCAGTCCCGTCTTCGACACAAAGGGGCTCTTCTACAGGAAGAAAGCCAACCAGCCAATCGGCATCGAGGTTTGTAACACACAGAAGTGTGTGTGTGTGTGTGTACATTTAAAGCGCTGACCTTCTGTCTCTCTGTGTCTCTCAGATCTACAACAACAACGTGCTGAAGGACTCCTTCCTGGGTCAGGTGACGCTGCCCGCCGAACAGGGAGAAATAAAGAAAACGATCCACCTGAAGGACAAGGGCGATCGCCGTGACAACGACCTCTCTGGTACCATCACTGTTGCGATATTGACGAGCTCGATACTCACCGGTATCTAAGATTTGGAGCCGGGAAACATTTCTGAAGTTCCACAACGCCCGGAAATGTCTCACAGACA